CCCGCGCCGCCTCGCGCCGTGTGTGTACAAACACAAAAGACGTGCCGGGGCCGCCGGCTCCAGGTCAGACGGACGCTGCCGCCGCTGCTGCCGCCCGGGTGCCCGCGCCGCGGCCCCGCACGCCCCGCCCGCTCCGGCCGCGCACGCCCCCGGACCCCCGAGCCCCGGCCGGGGGGCCCGCGGGCAGGCAGGGAGGGAGGGAGGACGCGGAGGCGGCGCGGCCGGTGCACGCCCGGCCTGCAGGCGTCTCGGCCGGGCCCGCGCGCGCCCCCGAGCGCCCCGGCGGCGTGGGGGCGGGGACGGAGCCGCCGGCCGGGCCGCCGCGCCCCAGTTGTAAACAGGCCCGACAGGAAGCTCGCGGAGCGCCGCCTCGGCCCGCGCCCGCGCCCGCTCGAGGAGGGGCCGCTCCGGCAGCCTGCGGGCGGGCGGCCGGCCCCGCTCCCGCCGTCGCTCCGGGCCGGGGGCCGCCGGGCCGCCTGCCGGCAACTTTATCGGCGCGGACGCCGGGCGGGCCACCGGGGCGGGCTGCGGGCGGGGCCGCGCGCGGTGCGAACGGGCTCGGCCAGCGCGCCGCCCGGCCCCTCTTGGGTGGCCTCTGTGGGGCCGCGGGGACCCGGCTCGCCGCCTTCCTGGGCCGGGGTGCCTGATGCAAGATGGCTGTGTTTTATAAGCCACTAAAACGATGTATGGAACACACTGTCGACTGCACCAGGGCCTGACTACCGGTGCTGGCAGCCTGTCCTGCCAGCCAGCCGGGCCCTTTAACCGTGTCAGTATTCGGTAGAATTGCCAAATCCAGGGCAGTCAGATGTTGTCAGCAGCTTCTGCATAGTTTAAATGTGGCGGAAAACGGCAGAAATAAGGAAAACGTGGTTTGGGGATTATTACATTTAACAATTTTCCGGTTCTCAGTAGCATAGGAAAAGGACTTCACGGTTCAAGTTATCCACATCTTCAGTTCGTCGGCCTTAGAATATCTGCACCGTCCCTAGATGGTCTTGACAGCGCTCCGCAGCTGTGTGAGGGTTTTCAACAGGAGTGTCATGCAGACGTCCCACAGGATAGCGAAGGAGAATAAGTTTCATAGATGGAAGGCACTACTATTTGTCATCTGAAGATCTTATAAAGCATCTTAGTCATAAACATCCTGAAACGGATATAGAGAAATCAGATACGAGGGAGGGAATAGATGTGTCCAAGGTCACTTAAGTGAGGAACAGACCCAGGAGAAACAAAAAATCCAGGCCTCCTGTTTCATTATTACTTAATGAATGTTAAGTGTCTGTGGTTGCTGTGCAGAACACACGCAATCTGCAGACCCGTCCTAAAAGCACATATGCAAAAAAGCCTGGGCGCAGCTGCCAGCGAAGTTTCTATAATTCGGGCCAAGAAGAGTTTTGTTTGCTTGTTTTTTGTTTTGTTTTGTTTTATTTTCAGGAGACCAAAATATTTGTTGTTGGATTTATCCAAGAAACCTGTTCCACATCAATTAAATTCATCATATCTTCAAGAAATGTTAAATGACATGGGTAATGTTCTCTTTCTATGCTAGATTTTTCCGTAGCTTCTATTTTTTGGCTTGGAAAAAAAAAATGTTTCTAAGGAAAGGAAAGACTATTTTAGGTGAAATAGTTCTGATCTTGGATTATCTGAACCAACGCAGCTGTCCATCTGTAAATGAAGTCACATTTATCTGGGCGAAGAGCGGCCAGAGGCTCTTTCTAGTGGAGAAGTCCAGTCCAGTTCAGCACCTGGGTGGGTGTCTGGTTACCTACCTAGTGGCTTCAGGAAGTTCGGTCACTGAGTGAATATTGATTGAGTGCCAGCTATGTGCTAGGCACAGTTCTGGGTGCTGGGAATACAGCAGTGAACAACACAGGCAGCGGTCCTGCCCTCATGGAGCTTATGATCTCCGGAAGCTTTGTCTTGCACCGGGAAGTAACACCCGGAGGAGAGAGAAAGAGGTCCTTGGAGCCCTAGGAGTGGCAAGAACTGTAGCTGAGGGGAGATGTGATCTTTAGAGCCCAGAGGATGGGGGATGGGCGCCTCCAGGGCAGGAAGGGACTTGAAAGGGGCCTCAGGGTTCATCCTGAATTGCCTCTACTTCTAGAACTCTTGGGCTAATGATGGCTTCAAAATTAGGAGTTTAAAAAAATGGAGAGGAGGGAAGCAAAAGCTTTTAAGTTAAAACATTTTCCCTAGAATAGAATGCCTATGGCCAGTAATTTAGAATTGCTTATAAGTAAAAGTTTAAAAAGTCAAATGGAAAGGATTTTAGAAGCACTGCTAGGGGCGGGCCCTGTTGCCTAGTGGTTAAGTTCCACCTCGGTGGCCTGGGTTCGGTTCCTGGGCACGGACCTACACCACTCACCAGTGGCCATGCTGTGGCAGGTGTCCCACATACAAAATAGAGAAAGATGGGGGCCAGCCCAGTGGTTCAGTGGTTAACTTCGAACGTTCTGCTTTGGCGGCCCGGGGTTTGCAGGTTCAGATCCCGGGTGTGGACATGGCACTGCTTGGCAAGCCATGCTGTGGTAGGTGTCCCACATATAAAACAGAGGAAGATGGGCACAGATGTTAGCTCAGGGCCAGTCTTCCTCAGCAAAAAGAGGAGGATTGGTAACAGATGTTGTCTCAGGGTGAATCTTCCTCAGCAAAAATAAGTAAATAAACAAAAATCAAAGCACCATTATTAGTATCTGCTTGGCTTCTGAGTCAGTCTGATGCAAAGATAACTGCCTTATGGAGCTGTTGTTTCTAGCTGCTCTGGTGCTATCCGCATGCACACTCTCACATCACTCTTTCTTCTTGGTCACATTGATTTAATGTATCATGTTTGTTTATTTGTTTATTATCTGTCTCTTCCCAAAAGAATGTAAAGTCTAGAACGGCAGTGGTCTTACCTGTTTCTTTCCACTGGTCTAGCATGACCACCCCCCTCCACCCCCAGTTTGGGGCCTTTCCCCATTTGCTGTCCCTCCTTATTGGGTCAGCTCATCTAGTTCCAAAAGTAGACAGAATAGTGTGATGAACCCTGCTGTGCCCATCACCTAGCTTCAGAAATGACCTACTCATGACCAATCTTGTGTTTCGTCTACACCTCTACTCCCCTACCTCCCCCATTTGAATCATTTTGAAGCAAGTCCCAGAATTTTACGTCATTTCATCTGTAGATATCTCAGTATGTATCGTAGGAGCCAAATAGATGGTTGATATACCTATTAAATCTCTGTCATCTCTGCATTCTCTGTTTGCACTTGGTTGAAAGATGCGTCCTGAGGCTCTGGGACCCCAGTCCTCTCTCCACAGCTGGCCCCCTCGGTCTTGCCCAGCGAATGGCATTGTGATTTACTCAACTGCTCAAACCAAGGCACGGGCATCCTCCTTAAGCCTCCCTTTCTGTCACCCCCATAGTCCTATGGGTCCTTCCTCTGACAAGCTTCTCACAGTGACCTGCTCCTCTCTCGCCTCCCGTCTGGCCCCACGGTCGCTTCCTACGTGACCTCTCTCTTTCCACTCTCGCGCCTCGTCTTCCGAGCTCTACTGCAGCATGCGGAGATTAGATTTAGAGAACGGAAAGCGGATTAAGTCACACTCTTGCTTAAATCCACGCGGTGGCCGCCCCCTGCTCTCGCAGGGCCTATCATCCCTCCTGCCCTCCCTGGGACCCAGCCACCTCGGTCTGTCCAGCGCTTCCTTCCTGAGGGTCATTACGCTTGGGTGTCCTCAGCTTGAGTGCTGTCCCTCGGCTTTTCACAGGACTGACTCACTCATCTTCCAAGGCAACATTTCCCACTTTCTCCTGTTTTTTTACTCTTAGAAAATGATCATATTTATAACGTACACTGAAGAAAAGTGGAGGGGATTTGGAGCCATTCATACGGAACTTGATTAAAGAATTCATTATTTTTTCATATTACATAATCACTGTAAGATAAAATATTATGTTTTAAGGAAGATATTAAATCTCAAACTTGGGTAAAACTCCCAAATAAAATGTTTTCACAGGTTTTGATTAGAAACGTTGAGCTCCGGGCCGGCTCCGTGGCCGAGTGGTTAAGTTCACGCGCTCCGCTGCGGCTGCCCAGGGTTCAGATCCTGGGCGCGGACATGGCACTGCTCATCAGGCCACGTTGAGGCGGCGTCCCACATCCCACAACTAGAAGGACCTGCAACTAAGATATACAACTGTGTACAGGGGGGGTTTGGGGAGATAAAGCAGGAAAAAAAAAAAAGATTGGCAACAGTTGAAGACTGGCAACAGTTGTTAGCCCAGGTGCCAATCTTTAAAAAAAAAAAAAAAAAAGAAACGTTGAGCTTACACCCATGAATATAATTTTTCATATCAGATTTTATACTTGAAATGGCCATATGCTATTCTTCATCAAGACTTTATAATGAAGATCTCTTCAAATTCTTGATGATCTCATCGTTGAAAATCTTGATTCACACAAGTAGGCGATAAAAAATTCAAAATAATTGTTTTCAATCATTCAAAAAAGTCTAACAGTTTGTTATATATTTAAAATTCTTCCCTTTCTTTCATTGACGAACGTAATCTTGAAATTTCTTGTGAATGGATTTTGAATCCAGTTGAACTTTTTAAAGGTTGAGTATTTAAAAATGATACTGTAGCTCAAATGGGCAGAATGCACACGTGCTGCGAAGCGGTCCCCTGCGGCTGCCTGGTCACCGCCGAGAAGGGGCTCTACACCGAGGTGGAGAAGCGCCTGACAGGAAGACGGGAAGTCCGGTCTGCACCAGGAGCCGGTGCGGCCCCCGTGGCCCCAGCTCTGACTTGCTGCCCTTTGGGCTGTACCAGTGCTCCTGGGGCACCTGGCATGGATCTTCCTCAGACTCCTTGTCTGTGATGGGCAGTGCTCCCTGCCCTGCAGGACGAACGCAGGGA